AAATGGGGGTCCGCGGACCACTGGTGGTCCGCGACCTATATTTTGGTGGTCCGCGGAGCATTCTGTCCAGTTTACACCAGAGGGAGCTTATCTGACACGAGCACAGCCCATGACTTTCGCGGCGGAATCTGCACAGCCCTATGTGCGTCAGTCATGAGACGGCCGCGCGTGCTGCTGAAGGCGCATTGGATACGAGACGTGATTGTGTATGTACCTGTGCTCTGCGTGTCGAAGTTTCACACACCACACGCCGAGCGAGCAGATGATTCCGTCTCGATTTGGAACGTCCGTTCCTAAATATTTGTGCTTGGGTATCGCGCACATGGGTTCAGTCGAATGTGTACGCGCCGCGGACTGTTCGATCGAGAGTGAGCTCGAGCCTGGCTTCTAGCCTTGTTTCCGGAAGGCGTCACCCAAGTTCATTGAAGAATCCCCAGCAGTTTCCTCGGAATGGGCGGGAAGAGTCAGGCCAGAATCCAGAGCTTCTTCAGGAAGCGAAAACACGTTTCCGCGGACGCCGATGACAACCCATCTTTTGGAGAGCTAGCCACTGAAGGGGAAGTACGATATCCTGTTATTGACTTGGAGGAAGAGGCCATGCCGTTAATTGAGTCGGAGATACAGATATCTGGGACCTCGAACTTCTCTCCGGTCAGGATAGGTGGCAGAATAGCGGCATCGGGGAGGCCGAAAAAGCAGTACAAACGCACGCGGAAGTACGATGCGAGCTATCTCAGATTCGGATTCATTCAAGAGCCCGGTAGCGAATTCGAGCCTAGGCCGCTGTGCATTGTTTGTTCGGAGTGCCTATCGAATGAAGGAATGAAGCCGTCCAAACTTCAGAGGCACCGAGATTTGAAACATCCCGATCTGGCTTGCAAACCGTTGGAGTACTTTCAGAGAATGCGAGACGAACTCAAGCAGCAACAGAATTCAATGAGAAATATGACCCTTGGTGACAATAACTCCCAGATGAGAGCCTCGTATCTGATATCGCTCGAAATCGCGAAGACAGAAAGCATACGTCATCGGCGAGGAATTGATAAAACCATGCATCCTACTGGCGAGTCAGGAGGTGATCGGACACGACGCTTACCAGAAACTCAGAGGTATTTCCCTGTCGCGCGAACACGGTGAAACGGAGAATCGAGCACATGGCCGATAACATCCAAGATCAAATTATCGATTTGGTCAAGAAGTCGACATTCTACTCGATCCAGATCGACGAGTCAACAGATCTGACGAATAAAGCCGTATTGGTCTGTTTCGTCAAGGTCGAACACGACGGAGAACTCTTGGAGGAACTTCTCTGCTCTGTGGAACTGCCGGGTCGGACAACTGGCTCCGAAATATTCCGAGTCCTTGACGGCTTTTTCGAAGATCATAGCATACCGTGGAAGAACTGCATTGGGGTATGCACGGACGGAGCCGCTAATATGACAGGACGTCTGATGGGTTTCACAGCAAGAGTCAAGAAGGTCGGACACCCCAACTTGCTGAGCACCCATTGCATCATACATAGGGAACAACTGGTTGCGAAACGACTCTCTCCACAATTGCACAGCGTTTTGTCTGATGTGGTCCGCATTGTGAACGAGATTCGTTGCAAACCATTGAATTCGCGTATCTTCGAAGCTCTCTGTGAGGAAATGGGTTCTCAGTTTTCCCCATCTCCTCTTGCATGCAGAAGTCAGGTGGTTGTCTCGTGGGAGAGTTCTCAATCGACTTCTTTCTTTGTTGCAAGAAGTTAAGGTATTTTTCCAGCAGCAGAACAATTCGACGTTCCTTGCTATCATGTCCGATGTAGATTGGAAAGCCAAACTATCATACTTGGCCGATATTTTCTCTCATTTGAATGAGCTGAATTTATCCTTACAAGGGAAGCATTGCGATATGTTCACGCTGCGAGCGAAGATTGACGGCTTCCGTAAAAAACTAGTTCTTTGGCACGCCGCAGTCTCAGAGAAAGATTTTCCGATGTTTCCTAATTTCGATGAGTTCTCGAAGCAGAATCACCTCAGCGAGGGAGTGGTCGTAATCGTCCGGGAGCATTTACAAACCCTCATGGATTTGTTCGGTAAATACTACCCGGAGCAAGAAGATCCCAGAAATGGCAGTCTCTGGATTCTGGATCCGTTCACCGCGAAAATTGACGACACGAATTTGTGCATGAAAGGGAAAGAAAGCTTGCTGGATCTCGCTTCAGATGCGAGCCTGCAGATGAAGTTCCACGCTTCGTTGTCGAGAGCTCATTTTTGGCTCGGAGTTGGACAAGAATACCCGATGCTGAGCGCGGAAGCGATGAAGATTTTGGTGCAATTCTCCACAACTTACCTCTGCGAGAAAACGTTTTCATCTGTCACTGCCATCAAGACTAGATATCGGACTTCCCTCGAGATGCACGCGGAACTTCGACTAGGAGTTACGAATCTAGCGCCTCAGATCGACGCGATCTTGTCGTCGAAGCAAGCACAGGTATCGCACTAATTCTATTTATACACGTTAACGTAGGTTGCGTGAACGTTCTTAATTGTTTTCGAACTCGGAGTCCATGGAGATTGTGAAAACTCCTGCGCAGCTCCTCTTTGCTATCTCTATCATGCTTGTATTTCGAAGAGGTGAAATATCTGGTGCTATGAAGATAAATTAAGTGCATTCTTGATGTATTCTGGCCCCCTTCTTCTCGCGTTCTGATTTTAAAACGGGTGACCTAAATTTTGGTGGTCCGCGGGGTCCGTCGCCATGACTTTGGTGGTCCGCGGGACGAAAAAGGTTGGCCACCCCTGCCTTAGAGCGACTCATCCTTGGCTCATTTGCCTTAATACCTGATGGTTGTAGGAGCATAGGAATTTCAGAATTAGCCGGGAAAGCCATGGAGACAGGGTAAAAAAGATTAGCAATCATCTTATAACAGCAATCATCTTAACTTTTATGCAGGCCACATAATGACACCCCTCTGACCCTGTGACTCGTCTTAATCGTCGATTAGGTGGGGCTCCTCACGACGAGTCATGGACCACTCTGATTGCTCAAGGTTCATGACCGAACGGCGAGCCCTGTAGCATTCTGGGCTTCCGGGCTGATTGCGGTCGGAGATTTGCTCCCGGGTTGACAGTAAGGTCGAATCCGCGCGGCGTCGTGCGTCATTGCTGCGAAGCACATTCGCACGAAAAAAGTCCGTAAGAAGGTGCGTGCACGTCTTCTCGGTTGGACTCGTTCGCGCACTTGTCGTCCGCCAATCTCCATTTTGCGAGCCGAGCGACCAACAACACGATGTCCGAGTCTCCGAAAACCGTCAAATCCCAACGTGGGAGAGACAAGTTTTCTCACGAAAGACACCTTTACGTTTTCGACCGGATGAGCGCGGATCACAGTACCGAGTTCTGGCGCTGCCCATTCAGAGGAGCGTGCAAGACTCGTTTGCATCGTCTCGTCCTCTCCGGTGAAGCGCTCAGAATCTCCGGTACCCACAGTGATCCCTCGGACGCAGCCGCCGTCGAAGTCGCCGTCAGGAGGACAACGTTGAATAGCCGTGCCGTTGAAAGTCAGGAGACTCCCGCCCAGCTTATCAACAGCATTCAACAAGGTGCATCGACGGCTAAGCACATGCAGTTTCCGATGAACCGAGTCTTGGCGAAGAGTCTGAACCGAGTGCGGAAGGCGTGCGCTAGTGCCCCCGTCCTTCCTGCTGATCGTAGTTCGATAATGATTCCTCCCGATTATTCGGTATACCAAGCAGCACCGGGACGCTCGGAGAACTTCCTCATCGGAGATTCTGGCTTCGGCGACGAATGCCCAAATGGATGGTTGTCTCTTCCATCTGGTCAAGAATATGAAGTTAAAGTTGGCGGATCTCGGACTCATGAAACGTTACAATCGTGACGACGACTCCGCTCTATGGGCGCGTACGATACCCGCGCTCGCATTTGTGCCGCCGGAGCATCTTGATACCGCCATGAGCGAATTAGCACCCGAGCTGCCTGCAGAGCTGATGCCAGTGCTGAACTACTTCGAGGACGACTACATCGGTCGGTTACGGTTGTCACCAGGCGGCGAGGTCGCTCCGCCGTGACAATGGCATCCTCTCAATAGTCCGGCAGTTCCACTCGAGGACGACGATCGACTATCTGCGAGGACTCGCCGACAACTTTAGGATGGAAGCGACGTCCCGCTCTCCCACGGCAAACGCAGCCGCAGACAGCTATCACGATTGACGTTCATTATTGTGCTCATCCTTTTATTCCAAGTTAGTAGGAATATTCGGATGATTTTGAATTAAATGACCATACTGTATTTCACAGGATGCCGAACGGATACGACACCGACAAGTCTAGTATTTTCACGTCCCGAGATCGGTCGCAATGAAGACTCCGTTCTGGGTGACCATGAACTGGACGATCGGGGAGCGAATATCGGTTTTTCGTGTGACACCGTGGATGAAACCAGAAACACTGCTCGCGGTTGATCCGCTCGAGTTGGTGCGTGTGTATTTCCTGTCGCCTACAGCGTGTCGTCTGTACAACCACGTCTGTAGCGTGTTGTCTGTCGATCCACGATGTCCCACGACGCTCAAGGAGCGCTCACCGGCCGTCGCTCTCTTTATTGGGAAACGATTCACTTCCTAGCTCGAGCTATTCTGGAGCGGGTAATCCGTGACATCCTCCCCCGGTGGTCGGGAATCGCGATCACCACCCTAAGGGACTCAAGACTAACAATTTCTAATGCGATATGTGCGGCATGCTGTTCTTGGCTTTGAATTCACCGAAAATTGGGCCTGACAAAACGATCACTGCAGACGAACGGCGGGTTGTGCAATCCTGTACTTCTGTCCGAACTCCGGGCGAGGATAAGCGCCGCAGGCGAACGGATCAATAAAAGAAAAGGGAATAAGATGTGCATCTCGAAGCGGCCTGCGCCCACGATTCACTAATTTTTGTACTTCTAGCGGGTATAAGAGCTGGATTGACCTCCTGAAGATTCGGCCATCCGGAAATTTTACGGAGCAAGATCTCTGTCGAGAATCTGTTCGCCTTCCTCCGACGACTGCTGTCACTCTGGCCAGTGGCCAATAGGCTCGCGATGGGCTCGGGTCTTCTAATAAACAGACGTCGCCAATTTTCAGCGGTCTCGGAGTGACGGATTTCCGCCAATGCGCTGATCTCAAATACGGCAAATACTCCTTGAGGAAACGGCGCCAGAAGGAATTCAGAAGTGACTGCTGGTGTCTCCACCGATCTGACAGTACCGCGGAGTTTGCGTCCTGTGCGAATCCGAAACTGGTCCCGTGTTCGGGACGACGACCTTAGCAGATCTTCCGAAAATCAGGTCAAGGGGGGTGAGGGCTCTCGGTTCGTCGGGATCCTGAGAAACGACGGTTAGGGTTCTCCGATTGACCATGTTCTCTATGTCCGACAGAACGGTGGCTAACTCGCGAAACTTGGGAACGTTGGTACCGAGAATTTTCCGTAATGGACGTTTTACTGTTTGAACCAGGCGTTCGTACCAACCTCCGTGCCACGGGCTACGAACTTCGAACCCAGCGAGGGCAACCTGAACCTCTTTGGATTTGACGTGGAATCTGATGATCGCCAACTCCTTCTCGGTGCGCTTGAACGTATGCGCATTATCCGAGAAGATCGTCGATACGAACGGGAAACGATTGAGGAATCTCCTCAGCGAAAGTAGGAATTCGTAACACGTCGAATCGGGTACGAGCTCGAGATGAATAGCCCTTCTTGATGCGCAGACGTAAAGGCAGATGTAGCTCTTCGATTTGGCACCCGCGTCGTTTCTGACCATTATCGGCCCGGCAAAGTCGACGCCCACGACGCCGAAGGCCGATCCAGCGTCAACTCGGAACTCGGGTAGCGGAGGTGTGACCTCGTCGGCTCGTGTGGCATCGAATCTGAGGCACGCCTTGCAGGTCTTCACAGCTCTCTTTGCCTGTCGTCGAGCGCCGAGTATGAGGACTCTGGCTCGTAGATTATGCATGACCAAGTTCACGCCTCCGGAGTGTAGGCAGAGTGCGCCGTGAACCCGAGCAACGTTAAGGGATACGGCCGGGTCGGACCCAGGAAGAATTACGGGGTATTTTCCGTCGTACGACATTTCAGTCGAACGCTCGAGGCGTGAGCGGCATCTGATGATGCCCTTGCCGTCCGTAGAGGGTCTGAGTTGGAAGAGTTTGCTCGACTTGGAGACGGCTGACAGACCGCTCCGAATTTCGTCGCTGAAGTGCGCTGCTTGTATGTTCCCGAAAAGTCTCATCTCTGCGTTGGCGAACTCCTCGGTTGATATGTGAGGCGATCGCTCCGCTGACCGTTTGCGACAGCGGTTGACGAACCGGAGAGCGAATGCGAGCGTTCTCACCAACTTGGTCCACGAAGAAAACCGTTCGACGTCAATGAGATTCACTCTCGGAACCTCGGAGGTCGTGAACGAAACGGTCCTCCTCTCTTCCGAGAGCAGATCCTTAGTCTCCGAGTTCTTCAAGATGTGCTCGAAATCGGCTGAAACCGGACTGGATAGGAATGGTGGGCCCTTGAGCCAGACTCCGAGTGTGTCCGGATCGGACAAAGGTCTTCCTCGACTGAGAATATCTGCCGGTCTGAGGTCTGAAGGAATGTATCGCCAGTTTGCCGGATCGGACTTGGCGCGGATTTCGGAAGTTCGGTTCGCCACGAACGGCTTCCACCGATCCGACTCGCTGCGACACCAACCGAGCACGTCTGCGTTGTCGCAGTGGAACATGGAAACGTCCGGATCCAGCGTGTACGATCCCAAAATTTTCTCGTGAAGTCGAACACCGACCACCGCAGCTAGAAGTTCTAACCTGTGTATGTTCCAGGCTCCCTTGAGCGGAACGACCCTAGCCTTCGATATGAGAAATGAGACCTGTACTGTAGAATCCTTGAGGATTTCTTTCAGGTAGATCACTGCGCCGTATGCGGAGAGACTGGCGTCCGAAAAGACGTGTAGCTCTCTGCGCAGTACTTGTTGTCTGCTAAATATGAATCTCTGTACTCGTATCGTGGACGTGTTGTCTATCATGTTACGGAAAGAATGGAACGCCTCCCTGTTTGAGCCAACAAGCGGCTCATCCCAATCTCATCGCACGGACCATAGTCTCTGGAGTGGTGTTTTTGCGGTAATGACTACGGGTGAGAGGACACCCAAAGGATCGAACACCTGCGAGAGGCCCTTCAAAAGATACCTTTTGGAAACTGGATCCTGGTCCAACTGGGACAGAGCGTTCTCGACGAAAACACCCAGTTCGTCTCCGGTCTGGTCCCAGAGCACGCCCAGTACCTTGTATTTCGTATCTGCGAACGAAACGTTCACCTCTGAGAACCTCTCGACCAATGCTTTCCCGAGATCCTCAGAGTTGGTCGCCCATTTCCGGAGGGGAAAGTGTCCGCTCGCGAACACCTCGTGGAGGGTATCGATGCGATCAATGCCTTGCTGGACGGAAGATGCACCCGAGAAAATGTCGTCGACGTAGAAATGGTCTCTGACGACAGTCAACCAGTCAGCGTCCGCTGGGCGATTACGAATTTCTGAGTCGAGGTGGTATCGGGTGCCTGCACAATGAAGCCATGGTGAGCATACCAGTCCGAAATCGAGAGCCGTGTTCCAGAACTCTCGAACCGGCACTCTAGGGTTTTCCGCTATGCCCAATGGCCATAAGGAGCGTAGGAAGGTTCGCTGGTTCGGGTTTATCTGGAACTGGAGGAAAGCCTTTTCGACGTCGCAGACTATAGCGAACTCCTGAGATCGGAAGAACATGAACAATTTTATCAAACATGGGAGCAGGGAAGGACCCTGATGCGAAACGTCGTCCCTACTTCGAGCTCCCGCGTCCTCGACGACGCGTATTTAGGGTGGCACGTTTCGAGAGGAACACGACTTTTTTGCGACTGCCAGAATCGGCAGATAATGCGCCGGCTGACCCGGCAAGCGCTCCCTGGCTGGTTCGGCCAGGCCCCTGGCGAGGTATCCAGTAATCTCTCTATCGACTGCGATGATGAGCGAAGGGTTTCCTCTATTTGAGTGGAGGGAAGAGGACAGGCGGCCCCGCGCCAATTTCTGGTTGTCGCCCAGAGCCTCGAGATTCTGTTTGAACGGTAAAGACACCGTGTACCGACCGTTTGGGGCTCTGACTATAGGGGTCCAGAAAAATTGATCTAACTCGAGGTTCACGTCGCTTTGTTCCTCGTTCGGAGCCACGCCCAGTAACTCAGCGTTCCAGAGGAAATCAATGGCGTCCGCTGGGTCTGTTTCATCTGTTGCCGAGAGCGAACCTCCGGAAATCTCTTGGAAGGAGCTGGCGTGAGCTGAATAAATCGAGAACATGGAATTCGTTACCGGTTCTGAGGGGCTTCGGACGTCGACTCCGTTGAATACCCAATCGAAGATGCATTCGGTTGCAACCATGTTATTGAACTCGTGCGAAATCTTCAACTTCAAGCGAGCCATGACGTCAGCGCCGAGCAAAACGTCGATGGCCCTTGGGAACGACGGATCCGACGAATCTGCGATTGGGAGAAGGCCGAGCGAATTCTTAATCGTTGGGAGGGAACCCTTGGTGATCTCGGGTAATCGAGTGCAGGTTACGATGATGGATTTCTCCGAAAACCGGCTTCTCAGTGAGATCTCATGGATGCCGCATTGCTGTACTTGGGAGACGGCTCCCCCGACCGTCAACAGTTTCAGCCAGACAGAGCTGATCGGAATTGAATTCAATCTGTTGACCAGGGCCGATGAAACGTAAGATCGCTCGGATCCCTGATCTATGAGGACCCTGCATACGGTCGAATTATTCCCGCATAGTGCGACTACGTGTGCCGTCTGAAGTATGAAAGATCCGTCGGGAGCCCCGCCGCTGTCTCTGCTGGCGAAGTTAGCTGTGGAGCCAAACGTCGAGCTGGGGTCGCCGGACGGTTTTGGGCACGTGACTACGTAATGGCGATTTCTGCAATTTGGGCACCTCGGGGGACGCCGGCTGCAGTTCGCTGCGAGATGGTTCCTTTGTAAACACTTCATGCAGGCTTTATTTTGTTCGATCAGAGATCGCCGCTCGTCTACCGTGAATGGCTTCCTACATTTAAAACTATAGTGATCTTCGCCACAGAACACGCATGAGTGGTCTACCTGCTTGCTAGATGTCGTGAATGCACTGGAGGAGTCTTTTTGCCACGGCTCGCTGGCAGCCCGGGCCTCGGACGACCTCCTCGGGTTACCGCGGAACGATTTGGAATCGGTCTTCGAATGACTAACCGCCGCTCGTTCGGAGTCGGCCAAACGCTGTAGAAATTTCATGAGGCGCTCGAGGTCGCAAGAATCGTCGTCCGATACGCCCGGGCTGTCCATCGACCACAGAGCGAACTCCTCTCTACGGTGTTCCGGCAGAGCCTCTCGAATGACAGAATACAGGGTTACTGATAACGTACTGTACGGAATACCGGCGCCCACAAGGGCTTTGACGTTCTGTGAGACTAGACTTACGAACTGGCTGACCTTGTTGTTTCGAAAGTTGTCCTTCTGCTTGCAAAGCTCGATGACGGCGAGGACGTGCTGAGAATTCGCATCTGAGACCTTTCCGAAGCGATCCCTGAGTGTTTGCTTCGCGATTTCGTAGTTCGACGGTTCCAGACCGAACTCAGACACGGAAACGGCCGCCTGGCCGCGGAGGGAGAGCTTCAGGAGACGGAATTTTTCTGTGATGGGAAGAGGCTTCGAGTCCACGACGTAGTCAAAATGTTGCCACCACTCGCGGAAGCGTCTCACTTCTCCAAAAAATTTCGGGATGTCATTCGGCGTGGGTGCGAGCTGGAGCAACGTAACTTGCTGTTGGTCTGAATCTCGTGACAATTCGGCTGCACCGTACTTATCGGGTTTTGAAGGGGATGCCCCAGCTGCACTGGATCGATCTGCCTTTCGGACGAATTCCCTCAAGTCTAGGAGCGCCACCCCCGCTGCCTGTCTGTAGCCGAGTTGTTTTTCCAGGCAGCTCGAGAGCCGCTCGGGCTGTAGGGTCGCCGCGAAAGGCATGAGGATTTTGTCGAGGCTCTCGATTTGATTGAGAATACCTTCGATTTTTGTTATATGGGTGAGTGCTTCGCGTCGCGACGAATCGCCAGGCACGTATTTCTTGATAAACTCGTCCGACGCCCTGCACGCTTTCGTGAGCAGGCCTCGAAGGGCCGCTCGCTGCTTGTGATTCGCGTTGAAAATCTCGCATTCTTCCTTCGTTGGGTTGCGGGGAGTTTCCACGGCGTATTCTTCGATGTTTTCGAGCGACATGGCTGTTCGTTGCTCTTGACCCGCCGATGATTTCGTGCCTTAGACGACTTCGAGAGTTGATCGCCGCGTGGTCGAAGGGGCACTAGGATTCTGTTAAGCTTCTGACACCAAATTTCACGTCCCGAGATCGGTCGCAATGAAGACTCCGTTCTGGGTGACCATGAACTGGACGATCGGGGAGCGAATATCGGTTTTTCGTGTGACACCGTGGATGAAACCAGAAACACTGCTCGCGGTTGATCCGCTCGAGTTGGTGCGTGTGTATTTCCTGTCGCCTACAGCGTGTCGTCTGTACAACCACGTCTGTAGCGTGTTGTCTGTCGATCCACGATGTCCCACGACGCTCAAGGAGCGCTCGCCGGCCGTCGCTCTCTTTATTGGGAAACGATTTACTTCCTAGCTCGAGCTATTCTGGAGCGGGTAATCCGTGACAAGTATCATGTCCTGTCATCTTCGCTTGGCCATCCGTAGGGAATAGATCGTCATGGCTGTGATCCTGCTGAAGAAAGAAGATCGACAAGGCTCAAGTCTCTCGTGTTTGGGAGCAGAAAAACGGCCCTTGTCAGGGCCACCAATTTTCGTTAGATCACTATCCCGAAAGCTTCTCCCCTCTTTGCCGACTAATTCGGGAATTTCTTTCCCGGATGCCGAGAACTTCTATGCTCCTACAACCATTAGGCACTTGAGGCGAATGAGCCAAGGACGAGTCGCTCTAAGGTGGTCGCCTCCGGCGGCGAGTTGGACCCTGCGGCGAGCTGGGTCCTGCGGCGAGCTGGGTCCTGCGGCGAGCTGGGTCCTGCGGCGAGCTGGGTCCTGCGGCGAGCTGGGCCGCGGCGAGTTGGACCCTGCGGCGAGCTGGGTCGCGACGAGTCGGCCGCGGCGAGTTGGGTCACGGCGAACTGGTCGCGGCGAGTTGGGGTGTACCGTTTAAAGCAACACCTTATTGTGTACAGTAATCCGTGAAAATTGAGACATGTACGCGAAATCCCAAATGCATAAAATTGACTTTGAAGCCGCATATATCGGCCATTTTCATTGCAAAATTGCGTGCATAATTACATTCTTTTTAGTGCATGAAGTTCCGGGCTCTATTCATAAGTCGAAATCAAGCGGTAGTGCGGATTATCTCGGATAACGCGAGGACTTTCACCAGAGCGGAGGAAGAACTGGAGGCGGTTTTTGACAACGCAAACCATCCCAGAACCAGAGCGTACCTGGCTCGCAAATGGATCGTGTGGTCGCACATCACAGAGAAAAGTCCGTGGCACGGAGCTTTTTGGGAAAGGCTGGTTCAGGTGGTTAAAAGACCGCTCCGGAAGATTCTCGGAGCGCATGCGATTCCATTCAGGGAGCTGGAGACTCTGTTGATGGAAATCGAAAAGGTCGTCAACGACAGGCCCATTTCGGCGGTCGTCGTTGATCCGGATGAGCCAAGGGCTCTTACCCCTGCGAACTTGCTTTACGGCTACGCGAGTCAGCCGGCACTGCCGGATATGAAACGGCTACGCAGAACGATCGACTCGGCGAATGCCATAGTTTTTTCGGAACGCCGGAACACTCAGCAAGCGACACTGAGGTCCTTTTGGAAGCAATTCCACAACGACTATTTACAGTTTCTCCGCTCGGCTCATTACAACAAGGTGCAGGACAGTCGTCCGATCAAGGCCGGAGACATTCGCTCGCGGGGAGGGCTCAGACAAGCGTCAGAGGCCTTGTATCATCAGAGCAAATTCGGGTCAGACATTCAGGAGGCCTATACAGCTTCTGTATCCCTTAGAGGTTTCGGACTTCTAGAGCAACGAGAAGTGGGGGTGGTCGCGCGACGATCGATTAGGCTATCTACAGAGGGCTCACCTATTGAGGGTATTCCCTCCGGCTAGACGAAGTCGGCCACTCCTCAACGCGGCGGTCCGGGTCGGAGACGATCACCTCGAATGCACTCTCCACCTCTTTCAGTTCCTGTTCGGGATTTGGGCAACGGCTGATCGCGGCCGAAAGAGAAATGGCCCACTGCCTCTGGCCGGGGTCCAGGATACTCCACAGCTCTTTCGCGCGTGTCATTCGCGCCTCACCGTCGAGGACTCGGAGTCCGGAGTCAAACTGTTTAATCCACAGAAAGAAGACAGCAGTGGGGCTGGTGGAGAACACGTTGCGTCGAGGCATCACGGACACAAATGAATTGTTTCTCTCTACTCTCTACGAACCGCCGCGCTTCGCACATGCATCTCACATTTCTTCAGCCGTAGAAAGTGTATGTAAGTCGATATATCGGGTAGTCTCGAGGACGGAGGTTCACCGATCCTGCCACCTCGAGGCGGCTTTACATCGTGACAGGCGCTTTGTACTTTCAGTAGCGAGGAGCTTCGCTCCCTAGGTAAATGTAATTCGCTCCCGTAATGTAAAGATTACGGGATCCCCAGACCCTTGTAGGCTTTCCGATGTAGTGTAAAGAACTATGGTTTCTTTCCCGGGGAGTGTCACGGAGCTCCGCTCCGTGGGTGAAATGTATTCCAATAAATAGAGCCGACGCCGACGATTCCTTTCCCCCTTCCTTCTCTCCCGGTCGAGATCGCTTGCACGTATGCGCTCGTGCCGGAGAGACCACTTCGCTCTTGTAACTGACAGCGGACGGTCATCGTCCGGTCAGCTCCCCATTGAATCGTCGGCCGTTTTCCCCGAAAACGAGTCTTTACTCAATCAGCGTCGTCGAGCAACTTGAGAGATTTCATAAGTCTTCTTCCCGCCGTGGACCACATAAATATAGCAGGTCTGAAGGAGTATCGACTTCAGATTGCTGGACTGAAGCGAATGACAGCTCGCCGCAGTGACCTGTCCAGCGCTTGTCCTTATATCAATCTCGGACGCCGGAGAGGGCGGTACGCGTATGCAAACCAATCCTGAATGCCTTCCGGCGCACCTGCCGCAATTTTTGACGTTCGCTCCACATGATTCGGACTGATGGTTTCTCCTCAAACAACGGATACAGGCGTTCTGGTCCTCGCACATTCTCTTTCGCTCTTCCGGCGTTAATTTCCTCGAGCACTTCGCAGCATCGTGATTTCTCTTGCACAATCGACATAAGTGATCGACCGGAGTAGTCGACCCAGCAAACGAATACTGAGAACGATTTTGGGGACCGAACCCAGGGTTTTAATTCCTGTTCCGATTACTACCCGATTGAGAAGTCCCTCGGCTCGGGGGGGACCTATCAGCCTTACTATCCACCAGTAACTTCCCCAGTCTCTCACCGAGTTCGAGCAGACGTTTTTTCTTTTCTAAGAAGTTAAACAGAAATTCGAGTTTTCCATGTCATCTGAATCGCGATCCTTCCACTTTTGATTGAGCTCGAGTGTGTCAAACAACCAAGAATCCTAAAGCCTCCAGAGATCGAATGTTTTGGGCTAAATTCAGAGCGAAGCCGATGAACTTACCAGGTTGTGACAGGTCTTTCACACGGCAAGCGAAATGTACATTCTGCACGAGAGCTGCTTTGGCTGCATCCGGGTCTCCATATGACTCCGTGATCGAGTACTTCATGATCTCGAACGATTCCTCGGCGATACGGAGATGCGGCACTGACGAGAAGGCTTTCCCCGAGAGGGATTTCTTGAGGATTCGACACTTTTCTGTCGTATCGATGGGCCTTAAGTCCACGAAATACACAAAAAGGTTCCACCACTCCGCGAACTTGATTGGGTCACCATCGAATTTCGGCACATTTTTCCTGGATTTCTCACAGCGTAGTAAGTCTGGTCCACGGGATACGGGGTCGAGCGATCTGCCAGGAGGGAGGCACCCTGATTTTCGCCATTGAGAATGACCGTCTGGATGTTCGACCGGTCAGCTGTTCGCGAGGAGCTGTCGAACTGATTGTTTTGATTCGACGCGTCCAGCTGAGAGTCGGGCACTCGACGGAAGCCAAGAGGGGATACACCGGGAGCAGGGCCGTAGATCGCCTCCAGTGTGACTATCCTGGACTGGAGTGCGCGACAATTAGCCCTAGAGCTCCTGCCGATAGTAATTGAGTGTTGAACTCATCGGCTATCTTAGTTTCATTCTCACTGAGAGCAGGATCCCGGGAGTACTCGTCGAACGTACCACTCAGCTCTTCTAGCTCCCTCCCGATGTGATAATTGAGGTCTGCGGCTACTCGGATAGAGTCCGCCGTATGAGAGTCTCCCTCCGACAGCGCCGAGATGGTGAGCTCGTTCAAAACGTTGAGCTCTAACATAAGCGGAGAACTCTGACAGAATTCGCTTTCCATAGTGTGACGGTTGATAGCAAAGATTCTTTATTCCTACACCTAGCAGCCTTTTATGGAGATTCAGCAGGGGAATAATCCCGCGCCACTAGCGCCGTTTCACTCGGTCACGCTACTGGTGCCCGAACGTCCCCGTTCGAAAGGCCGCAGGTCTTTATTATTGAGGGTTCGCGAACGCCCGGCTCTGTCCCGTACGAGGTAGGCTGAAGGAGCAACTTGACGCTCAACTGTCCAGGGACCCACGAACCGTGGATACAACTTCTTGGAAAGACCAGGTCGCTTCTTTGCGATTCGAACCAGTACCTCTTGGCCGTTCCTCGAAGACATTGGCCTCGACCGGGCCGCATCGTATCGAGACTTCATACAGGCTTGGGCGACTGACAGCTCACGATGGCCTTGTTGACGAATTTGCTCTACGGGGCGAGATTCCCGAGGACCTCTAGGAGGTTCTCCAGGTAGAAGCGCGGGGAATCCGAACAGCATTTCAAACGGAGATTCTTGAAGAGATTCACTCACAGTTGTATTCAGCGAGAAAGCGATCCGTTGGATCATGTCTCGAACAGCCCGAAAGCCCTGCTGCACCAGAGCAGCTAAGCGGTCCGTCAATGTCCGTATAGTCCGCTCGGCTACGCCATTACACTGCGGATGGCCCACCGACGTTCGAATGTGCGACGTATTAATCCTATGGAGGTAATCCGCTGGTACTTTTTGAGTTGAATGGGGGAACCCTCGAGGTTCA